GCTGAGGATTCTAATAACATTTCAAAACTGTTTAGTATTACAATCAATGTAGATAGATATAGAAACCCTCCACAAAAAATGCTGCCATCTTTGCCCAAATTCACTCCATGTAGAATTATTGCAGAAGAACTTGGTAAAATATTTAGAACCTTATCATCAAGTTCTTTAAGATCAAATCAACATGGCTACAGCATGAAGACAACACAGAAATCACCAGAAGCTGGATTTTCTCCTCTAGTCAAACAGCTGCTTGATGAACCAGAGACTGTCAGCACCATACACACTGGGTATCGATACCTTTTCAATGTAGCCTGCCTGAATGATGAAGAAATCTGGACAAGAGGAAATGACATCATCATGAAACTCTACAGCATCAATCGGGGATCACTACTCAAGTCAATCAGAACAAAGTCAGGGAACAGACCAACTGACATAGCAGTGACAAAAAGTGGAGATCTTGGATACCTTACAGTGTCTGTAGTACCTCCTCTGGTGACCTCCTGGTTATCATGTACACTGCTGACAACAAACAATCAAAAGTTGTCCGTTACTCTGGCTCCATAGAGAAACAAACTATTCAGTTTGATGATAAAGGTAAACCTCTCTATTCATCTGGTATATATGACAGATACATAACTGAGAACAGGAACCTGGATATTTGTGTGTCTGACTATGAAGCTAAAGCAGTAGTGGTGGTCAATCAGGCAGGGAAACTGAGATTCAGGTACACTGGACATACTCCTGATTCAAAGAACAAACCATTCAGTCCACGAGGAATCACCACAGACAGTCATAGTCACATCCTTACAGCTGATCATAACAACGACTGTGTCCACATCATAGACCAGGATGGACAGTTCCTCCGATACATAGACTGTAGTCTGAGAAAACCCTGGGGACTGTGTACAGATACAAATGATAATCTGTTTGTTGCTCAGTGGGGAAACGGACAAGGGAAGAATATCAAATATCTGCAGTGAAATCGAGAACTTATTAATCTTTACATTTTTGTGATGTTAATTCAATGATAAACATTTTTAATTTAGAACTGATATTGTATAAACTTTTACATGCTTATCAAAATTATGTGTAACTGTTGACAATTTGTGCATGATACCTGTGTCCATGTTTGCACAGAAATTATTTCTAATGATATATATGTAAATGTAAATAATACTTGCTAATAAGAATGTTCACTTTTGGGGTGTAATGGTGTTAAAAATACACTAATCTTCCTGATAATTGATAATAATATACATTTATCTACATTTATCTACCATTTTGAAAAGTAGATAAAAGTTCAAGTTCAAAGGTTACAAGTAACATTGATATTTTACAAAAGCCACTGTGCTGCTGAGTAATACATGAGCAAAACATTAAATCTACCTCTTACAATTCTCAAAATACAAGGTGTGAAAGATGGACAACTCGAAAGACAGAGTCTTAGCAAAGTGATCCCTAAAATTTGTTCTGCTCTGCATGTGACATAAAAAATATATCTATTGATGAAAACTGAAAGCATAATGATGGATTTTAAAAAGAAGAAGAACAAGAAGTCTGTAAGCCAATGCTCACAAGTAATACCCCTGCTCTAATGTGAATATTCCCTGTCATGTGAATATATAGAAATTTGGTAAGGACTGATGTACGCATGAACACGAAGTGGACATAGGATTCATACAAAAATGAATCCCACCATATGGGATGCCTAAACAAAGAGTGTGCTAAAATTCAAGCATCTGTGATGAGTAATTGCTGAGAAAACTGTGACGAAAATTTGTTCCGGACAGACACATAGCTAGACATATGAATAGATGGACAGATAGACAGACACACAAGGGTAAAACAGTACACCCCCTCTCCTTCGGAGTGGGGGTATATAAAGGTAAATAATGTTTCAGATTTCAAAAATCAGCTTTATGTCCAACATTCACTTTGCAGAAAGGGGTAGATTGATATTCTTCCTGAATTTTATAACAAAAAAATAACAATAGCTTCATTGTGTATTCACTGCCAAAGAAACAAAGATTTATTTCCCTCAACAAACACATTGTATCAATGTCCAGATCAACATTTTGAAATTTCTGTTAATTAAAATTTAGATTGATAAATAATTTTCAAATTGAACTTATTGAATAATCTTAATAGTAGGTGAGTGTATTAATCCAAGGGACAGAACTTGTATATAATTGTGATTTCTAGATGACCGGTTTAAAAAAATAGCCTGGACTTGTAAACTTTAATCTTCGGTCAAGATTCTCATTAAAGTCAGCTGTGATTTAAGGTAAATATGCATGGTTAGTGTGTACATACATGTACTACACAATTTTTAAGTGAACACATTTATTTACCAAATGTAAATTGTCTTTACAATGTTAATAACAATTAATCTACAGTTGAACTTCGATATCTCGAACACTGATATCTCGAATATCTTGGATATGAAGAAAATATAAAAATATGAAAAGGCAATTATTTTCTCCGGGCTAGTAGATCTCTGGCAGGACTGATAACTTTTATAAGCAGTTAGCCCTGCTTGTCTAAACTTTCAGTGAGTTTCAAACACTGATATCTTGGACTTTACCTGTAAGCCTAAATTTTTGCTTCAGTGGTTCACAGATTTCTTCCTCCACAGATGACTGACTTTTCCTGCCCCCGTCTAGAATCCACGGAGTCTGACCCAGAGTGCGGCTGTACTTATTGTATCTACCTGTGGAAGAATTAAAAATAATGATATGAATTCATATATTTTAGTTTTATTTCTATCAACTATAGATATTTAGATATTGTCCGCTGTTTTGATTTTTGAGAATTACATCACTAAATTTTCTGCAAGTGACCTTGAACTTATCACAATAATCTTTAAAACAAGGTCAAGCCTATTTTTTTTTACAGGCATTCTTTTTTCTCATCATGAGACTCCAATATGTGTCCACTACAGTCATAAGGTCTATATATGAGGTCCACATCAATATAGAATTTATCCTGCAAAGAAGGTTAAATATATTAGGAAACAAATTATTATGAATGAAAAACAGAAAACTGACCTGCTACAAAAACAGCATCATGGATACACTTGATCTCATCACATTTACAGATACTGTTCTCATTGCTCTTTGGGACGCTGTAGTTCCTAATTAATAAATAAATAAATCATGCAATGTACAGTCAAACCTTGATATCTGTAGTTCCTGTTTAATAAATGAATAATATACTCAATGTACAGTCAATCTTTGATATCTTTAACCCATCAAGAATAACAAAAACAAAATAAATATATTTCAAAGCATTTACAGCATTGAATCATATTTTCTGATTGATAAATTGTTTAACCTGGTTACTCATGCAAAAATAAGGTAAGATCCAGTATCCCAAGCAAGCCTGATATCATCCAAACAAGCTTGGTATACGTAAGGCTTTTAGTTACTTGGGAATGAACTTGCTCCAAAACATTAATCTGGTCACTCATCCATGAAATCTAGGTCAGATCAAGCATCTGAAGCAAGTCTGGAAGTGTACTTTCCTAGATACATCATCAATGCAAGTTTGTTCTAGGATGGGCTTATACATGTAGTTATAGCTTACTCCCAAAACTTAAACTGGAATGCTGACACATGGGGTATAGCATAAGCATATCTTGACTTTGTCGAGGTGAGCTAAGAAGCCATCAAACAAACCTTTTGAAGTATCCATCTGTGATGTCTGATAAATCTTTGGCTACATTAGTCCTTGTGTAGGTATCTCCGTAATTCAATAAAATCAATAATTGTTGAATGTTAATGTAAGTTTGCTTAATTCAGAATTTTAATAAAATAAACTTTTTTATCACAACCAGATTCATCTAAGTAATCCTGGACAGAGTACCTAGTCTTTAAATAAATACATGCATATTTGCAGCATGACCAACTTGTTCAAATTTCCTCACATTACTACTGATATTCTTGGTAATAAAAATTCAATTTTAGGAAACCTGAATTTATATTCAAAATATACCTTTTGTTAATTTTTTCCTTTTCCTGAATAATGCTGGACTGTGGTAGGACCTACAGTAATTTTACAGATAAATTAAAATATTGTGAGAGTCAGGTAGAAGTTATATCAGTGATCAAAAACCACAATCTCTTGAATGAGTTACAATCTGTTTTTTAAATACGTACAGGAAGGTGCATTCCTGGAAGGAGTGGTCCTGGTCGTAAGTAAAGTTGAGAATAATGTCAAATTTGCTCTATAAAAATAAATACATTCATTTGGTCATCAAGGATTACAGCATTTTTCTTGACAAATGTTACCCATAAGTAAGACAAAGTTGCACACTAAACAAATGTTCTGGTAGAGTGCATCCGTAAATACATCATCTCTACATGTTTGGTTCAGATAGGATCTATAAATACATCAAAATGGGCCTGCTTAAAAAAATCTTTAACTATTTGATCAACCTTTTTGTTTAGGTCAGATCCATGCAGACCATAAAGCTTATCTGGTAGTGTGCAAGCTTTGTAACATGGCATTTTTTAATATTTGTTCAGTCACCATAGGTCTCCTTCAAATTTTTAGTTTCGTCCAGGTAGGGCTTCCAGTTACTTGTGAAATAAACTACTCCAAAAACTCTAGCCTATTCACTAATCCAGAAAATGAAGGTTAGATCCAGCATCCAAAGAAGTGTGGTATTGTGCATTCCTAGATGCATCATCAATGGAAGTTTCATCTAGGTAGTGCTTACAGTTACTTAAAAAGTAACGTTGACTTCGTCAAAATGAGCTAAAAATAACCATTGACCTTTAACTTCACCTGCATACTTTTTCTTGATAAAAATTAAAATGCTTGATAACAGCTTACTTTACAACTACTTTATGTATGTGTGTAACATTTTAATAAGTAAGTGTTGTGTTCTTTAATTGTGTCTTTCACTATTACTATGAAATAGTGATGTGAAATTTATTCAATTTATTTATATGTTTATCATCTTATATCATTATGAGAGTTCTCTTGTAAAAATGAACCTTGAATTCAAAAGGTGCATAAAGAGCCTCTGCTTAAATTGGACTACTTCTCCATTTCCAGACATCTTTAACTGACGCTATGTCTTCTATCACTTTAATACATTCATACAGAGATCTGAAAATAGAAACATGGTTCTTATAAATAATCCTGGCCTTATATCACAAGCAAGGATAATGGACTGGAAATGATGATGGATAATTTGGAAAGAGGCCAGGTAAAATGTACTCACTTAAACTTTTCATTTAGCAGTAGAATGAAAGAATGTTAAAAAGAGAAATTTTATAATGAAACAAGAGGTCTATGGACCACATCGCTCATCTGAGCACTGGTTTTACATAGGAATACACTCGTCTGGGAAAAATATTTAAAATGCCTCTGCTGTTCTTAAACAGAAGAATTTTAAATTTTTTTCAGTGTTTTCCTATGTAAAACTCTGATTGCTCATTGTGGTTCCACCCTACTCACCGTTTGTTCCTGTTAAATAAATGATTGATTCACTCAATCCTTGAATAAATAGATAATCTAAGATTACGAAGCTCAATTCAAGGATTATCATTTAGAAGTACGGTCAAGTCTTACAACAAATGAATGGTCTTATAATGTACATTTGTAGATGAATCATCCTCGCAAGTTTGGTACGGGTAGAACTTATACTTAATTGAAATGGACCTAACTTAGTTAAGATCTAGCATCCGAAGTATGCCTGAAGATGTTGAGCATCCCTAGATGTTTCACCCAGGTAAGTTTGGCCACTATAGGGCTTACAGCTACTTGAGAATATATAGACTTGCTTTAAATACTTACTACTTTAAGCAGGTCACTCAAGCAGAAAATTAAGATCAGATCCAGCATCTGCAGCAAGTCTGACAGTGTACATCCCTAGATGTATCATCCAGGTAAGTTTAGTCTAGGTAGGGCTTATGGTTACTTAGAAATGAATTTTCAGGCACCAAATGGTTTACAGTTACTTATGAATTAAATTGCTTTAAAAACTTTAATCTAATCACTCATACACAAAATCTAGTTCAGATCAAGTGACTAAAGCAAATGTGAAAGTGTACATTCATAGATGCATCATCCGTGTAAGTTTGGTCTAGGTAGGGCTTATACATGTATTTACTTGGGAATCAACTTACTTCAAAAACTTAACCTGATCAATCATCCACAAAATCTAGTTCAGATCCAGCATTCAAAGAAAAACTGGTAGAGTACATCCCATAGATGCATCATCCATGCAAGTTTGGTCTAGTAGGGCTTACACATTAAGTTACTTAAAAATGGATTTTCTCCTAAAACTTTAACCAGGACGCCAACACCGACACCAACCCGGGGGTATAGCATACTTCAGTTAGCTCATTGGACTTTCATTGAGGTGGGCTAAAATGCTTACTAGAGCAGATACACAATGGGAAAAGATGATAAAATGTGAAGATTACAAACCGTTAACATGCCCCAAAGTCCAACTATTAGTATATGGAGTTATTCATAGACATTTCACTATTAAATAATGACCCAAAAATATAGTTGATTGATTGATTGTATGTTGTTTTACGTCCCATTTGAGTTTTTTCATTCATATATTTTCATTTATACCTTTTCTCGGAACTCAGGGCCATTGAGCACTGAGGGATCTTTATAGTGCCAACGCCTACCGTGACACGGGGGTTAAGTCTTTAAGGCCTTATCCGAAAGACCTGCGTCTTTCACTTCAACGTGCCGAGAGCTTAGCGAAGGAAAAGTTGCTACCAATTTCTTATCGACTTAGTTCAGTCGCGGCAGAGGTTCGCACCCAAGACCTTCGATCAAGGAGCCAAGCAATTTGTATTAAAAATGCCAGTCAACATTGGACATAACAACAGGTTATATTTGCAAACGAAGTCATTGTACGAACGAGTTCATCAACCAACGAATTTGCAAAATGTTGATTTTCAATTAAGTCGTTGATACCCATGTAGCATCAACTTATTTTTCAATAATCTGACTCAGTTAAAATATTGACTGTATGCTAAACAAGCTATAGCATATTGAATCAACTACCATATGCAGATGATAATTGTATATTGCTAAATAATTAAGGGAAGTTGATGATAAAAAAGGTTAGTTATTAAACTTATCATAAAGTTCCATGTCTTTCTCTACTTAAAACATCAAAATATGAAACAAGCATGTCAGAATTTATAGTGTTTTTTTTTATTTCGAGTTCAACCGCATATAACTTATCAACATTTGAATGAATGTATGTTTGAAATATCCATGCACATCGACATCTCTTTCAGAAATAAAATACAAAGATTGAACTGAGGCATAACATTTATTCAGTCTAGGATACAAACATCTGTCAGCTGTCTTCTAAGCTTGGAGGCCAATCCAGCTCAACACTCTATAAAATATAAAAATAACAAAATTGTAATGACAATTTAGTTTTAAAAATCATTGAAAGAGGTCCGCAAATAACAATGCTAACCCAAAGTCACACTACAATCATCCTTTAGTAAAGTTTTCAAAAACTTATATGTTGACTAAACGTGTGAAGACGTATAAGTTACTGCATATATTTTACATTTCAAAATCTTATTGGTTTTAATAAACAAATACCCCATTATCCATTGAAAAAATTCCTTGTAGAAAAAAAAATCTCGCCAAAAAAAAAATGTGATGCATTTTAATTTTACTACTTAGACCCTTAATGTTTATTAGAGGAAAGCTTTTAAAGGAATTTCAGGTAATTTTTGACGTAAAAAATGATTCTCCCTTTTTGAATCAGAATTACTTGGGAATATTATGGATATTCTAAACCTTTTCCTCCTTTATCTCTTCTATAGATACATTTAAACCAATGTTAACCACTTATCCCACATATTAATACTATGGTCAAAGCCAGTTATCTCACAAATTTATTTTCTCATCTCAATACTGTGTGCAAGCTCACCTGTACATCAAGTTCCAGAATATCACACTCCACACCAGTCAAGGTTCCAAGATTTGGAGTGGTTCTCCCGAAATCTCCATGAACAAACTCTTTAATATAGCTAATCTATAGTTAAGTTATACATAATATAGACACATAGGCAATGAGTAAAGGGGATCAAACTCTTTAATATTGCTAGTGTATTCAGATAAGTACTGTTTATATACCACATATGACAAAGATGTAAGGACAAGAGAAACTAGAACTGTCCAAAAGGGACAAATACCCCCCGTTGGGTTTTTCAGAGGTGACAAATCACTAACATTTTATGGATCTAAGAGGTGTTCACAATTTTCTTATAAACATTTAGAGTGAAAAACTAATTATATTTTTTAATGAATGAAACCAAGGAACAACCTAATAAAACATCAATACCAATACATTGTAATTACATTGTTTCTTTTTAATAAATTGAAAAAATAAATTGCAACTATCTGTCAGCTTTTTGAGACATGACATTCTGCAAATTGATTGTTGAAAAAAAAATCAATTAATTACAAAATCAAATTAATCTTGATAACTTTATATCAAATTCATTTTAAAAATAAAATGCTGGTCATCCAGTAACTATGTACTGACAGACAATAAATTACAATTAAGAAAATTAAAGAACAGAGATCTTTAAAATCACAGGAGATATAGATAACACATGCTTGATCAGAGATGCCCCAACAATTTCCTGCACTGAACTCATTAATTAATCTTTAACTGGATGATGTCCACTCATTACTCCCAAGGGACAAATGGATTTACACTATCTGCTGTGTAATGTAACCAGAAGTCTCTGACGAGACTGTAGCTCTACTGGTTGTATTTATAAAGGAAGATAAAAGTAGCACTTGGACTTGAAACTTTGCAACAGCAATAAATAGAATAATGATCCTTGGTTTAGTCTCTTTTGTGGCAAGATTTATTATTATTTCAGACTAAAACTGTAGGAGGAGTAGCCTTTTAAAACAATTTTACAGAAATTTTGATTTAAGTAACCATGGCAACATTATTCAACAAAATCAAAAACAATAACATCAATTATGTATCTCAGTGTAGTCTACTTGTATGCCACGTTATACTGAAATCAGACAAAAAAGTGCAGGAGGAGTAGGAGGATTTTCAAGAAAATTTCTATTTTTAGTAACCATGGCAACACTGTTCATCGAAATCCGAAACTGGTACAGAGAATTATGTATCTCAGTGTAGTCTACTTGTGTGCCTAGTACTACTAAAATCAGACCAAAACTGTAGGGGTAGCATTTTGAAGGTATTTCAAGGAAATTTCTATTTTTAGTAACCATGGCAACAATGTTCATCGAAGTCATAAAATCAATATAAAGAATTATGTATCTTAGTGTAGTCTACTTGTTTGCCAAGTTATATTGAAATCAGATCAAAGCTGTAGGAGGAGTAGCATTTTGAATGTTTTTCACAGAAATTTCTATTTTTAGTAACCATGGCAACATCGTTCATTGAAATCAAAAACCGATATACAGAATTATGTATCTTAGTGTAGTCTACTTGTGTGCCAAGTAATATTGAAATCAGACCAAAACTGTAGGAGGAGTAGCATTTTGAAAGTATTTCACAGAAATTTCTATTTTTAGTAACCATGGCAACACCGTTCATTGAAATCAAAAACCAATACACAGAATTATGCATCTTAGTATAGTCTACTTGTGTGCCAAGTTATATTGAAATCAGATCAAAACTGTAGGAGGAGTAGCATTTTGAAAGTATTTCACAGAAATTTCTATTTTTAGTAACCATGGCAACACCGTTCATTGAAATCAAAAACCGATACACAGAATTATGCATCTTAGTATAGTCTACTTGTGTGCCAAGTTATATTGAAATCAGATCAAAACTGTAGGAGGAGTAGCATTTTGAATGTTTTTCACAGAAATTTCTATTTTTAGTAACCATGGCAACACCGTTCATTGAAATAAAAAACCGATACACAGAATTATGTATCTTAGTGTAGTCTACTTGTGTGCCAAGTAATATTGAAATCAGACCAAAACTGTAGGAGGAGTAGCATTTTGAAAAATTGTTTACAGACGGACGGACAGACAGACAGACAGACAGACAGACAGACGGACGGACGACGGACACCTTACTATCGCATAAGCTCTTCTGGTCTCTGACCAGTAGAGCTAAAAATTGTTTTTAATGCTTGATGATTTTTTTTTTTGTTTTTTGTTTTAATGAATAGTTTTTAGCTGTAGTTCACATTTTTGTACAGATGTTCTAGATTCTATGTCTAAAACCTTAGAAATAAACCCAAAATGACTAAGTCAATAAAAATGAAAAAAAAAACCTTTAAAATGCAGAAAAATTATCAATAATGTTGAAAATACCAGGTGCACATCTTCATATGGTAAATAATGAGTGTACAAATTTCAAACAATTCTATCAAATAGTCTTTGAGAAAAGGTCAGGACAAAACCACATAATAAAAATGAAAAAAAAAAAACACCTGTAAAATGCAGAAAAATTATTCAATCATAATGAAAATACCAGGTGCACACCTTCATATGGTGAATAATAAGTGTACAAATTTTCAGACAAATCTATGCAATAGTTTCTGTGAAACCCTCTGGACAAAATATTGTCTACAGACAGACGGACAGACAGACGGACATGGTGATTCCAATATATCCCCCCTAAACTTCCTTTGCGGGGGTATAATTAAAGGATTCACAGTTGTCATTATATCACTATCTTGTAAGTTTATACATGCAGTTTTGGCAGTAGTCTTTTCCCATTAGTACTGTTTAAGTATACACACAACAGTCAAACACAAAGATATTAGAACATTTTATGTAGCTAATGTATAGGTATTAAAGTACTGTATAAATACCACAGTCATATAGATAATGTGAGAGGACAAGAGAAATTAAAGGAGTCTCAGTTGTGGTTTTATCACTATCTTGTAAGTTTATACATGCACTTTTAGCAGTAGTCTAAATTCTCCTATTAGTTCAGTTAAAGTAAATACAGTCAGACACATAGACAATTTGTGGAGGCAAAAAAAAAAAACAACAAAAAAGTCGAGGTTAGTATTTCTAGCATGTTCCTTAATATTTTAGCATTTTAGCAATATTCTTGTCCTATTTAATAATAATAAAAATCTATAAATTTTTAGTTCTAAAAATTACATTCAGTTTTAGCACTTTTAGTAGTAGAATTGTCCTATTATAATAAGTATACTTTAATAATGATAATAATCTATTAATTTTAGTTCTTAAAATTATATTCCTATCTGCATCTGGGTTTATACACATGCTGCATGCTTAATATACATACATCTACAAACATTTAAAACTTGATCTATAAAGATTTATTATACCTCTACTGATTTTTCACTATATAAGAGTAAATCAATATATTTTGCCGATTCCCTGAAAATCACCGCAAATGGACTGATTCCCTACAAAAAGGTGCGTCAGTTTGATGAACTGATACACACCTATTCGGAACACCTAGCAATTTCTTTTTATCGTATGAAAAGTACCAATATGTTCCAAATAAAATCATGAATATTCATAATGCAGCTCACTTAAAGTTATATATAAGGAGGCGGGGCCTAATTTATACAGGAAAGAGTATCGTGTTAATGTGACGTCAACATAGTAAATTAATGTGCACTGAGATCTAGACAGATCACGTAACTTTGTCATGGTGTAAATTATTTATATAAAATAAATAAAGTTGCTTGCAGATTCTGATACATGTATTTCATAGACAATTGATTATTGTATCTTATAAACAATTGATTAAAATGCAAAGACTTTATTCATTTATTTTATCAACATTCTGAGTAATCAATATTTCCATTGCCAACTTTATAATTGCACATAGAATAAAATTGCAGTCACAGGTTTTGAAAATAGTTTAATTTTGGTATCGGTATAATAAAACGGTTAAAGTATATCATTTAGGGAGTCAGCAAGATTCCAGTGGCCCTCGAGCAAGTCTATTTTCCTTGAGGGAAATAGACTTGCTCGAGGGGAACTCGAATCTTGCTAACTCCCTCAATGATATACTTTAACTGTATACTGTCCTACATTTCTGACATCCTATCATATCTTTTTTTTCAATCAGAGGACTCTAGAATGTAGAAGTATCAACAATCCTGACTTCTTTCTTTAAACATAAGACCATACAAGGATACGTGCCAGCCTGTGTTGAGAGACTCAAGGTGAAATGAAGATCATCTATTTTCTTGGCGGACATACTGTACACTATTCTCTCCCTTGTCGCCAGAGGGCGCCGGTGAAGGACTCGAATCGGAGTCTTTTGATAAATAATAAGATCCTGAAAATAGAATGCAAAGCAAATTCCACTGATAATTATTGAGAATCTTTGAGCTGAGAGATCTAATTACTACCTCAAATATTCTCATCAATATTTTTGTACATAGCATAAAAATACCAGGGAACTTTAAATAATCTGCAAACTAATCATTCATTTTGATTTTTCATACTCCTTCACTAATTTGGTGCTACATGTATATAGTGACCAGTTGATATATATATCATTGACAACCTGCCACCAAAGAATTCTGGTGTTTATAAATTCTTGAACACACATCTACATTTTACATATTTTGACACAATCTTATATAAATCACTTATCAATTCAGCACACTACCTTAACTTCCTGAAGCTTGTGAAGTTGTTCCTCAGAGAGAGATTCTTTAGACCAGCAAAGGGCAGAATAGGTCTTCATTTTCTCTATTTCACCCTCCTTTAGTTTATCGACATCTTTTCTATTTATGAAAAAGTAAAACTAGGTATAGAGTTTCTAACATTTCATACATTTTTCTTATCAGAGGGTCAATTTTAAACTAAACTATAGGCTAGTAGTATTTGTACATTGTCATTGGAATTAAAAGAATATACATGTATTTCATTACTTCTAAAAATTCTCACTTGTCAACAATTTGTACAATGTCATTGAAATTTATGATGTATATTTCACAGCACTTGAAAATTCTTACTTGTCAACAATTTGTAAATCCCTGACTTTGATATCAGCTGACTTGTTGATTTCCTGGAAAAAATACTATACAATTACCGGTATACATCTACTTTAAATGTTTTTTTTCTACATTGACTTTTTGTGGTTACAGAAAATTTTTGTAGGAAATTTTGTACAACAAATGTGGTTTTTATAAAAACTCTATTTAAAATGGATATCTCAGCAATATTTTTGCTTTGCTCAAAGCCAAAAAAAAAAAAGAAATTGTCTGAGAACTTGCCAATGGTCAGTACAATAAGTGTACAACGATAACATTAAATCAAAATAGCACTCTAGACTTAAGTATTGTGAAAAAAAAACATATATAGTAATTTTACCTTCTGTATTTCCAAGATATCTTCTGCTGAGAATTCAACTCGATGTGGATCATCCATTTCTACAACAAAAGGCCTTCCTGCAATCAAGAAAAGAGTTTTTCAAATTAAACGAAATCTTAGCAAAACATGATGAGTTTGCATGTAGAAAGCAAAATGTAATGTACATTATGTGCTCATATTTTTGCAAGCATATACTAGCTTTATTTGTCATAATATATCTTTAAATTCAGTTGTATTTAATTTAAATACACTAGGTCTATTGAGTTCATTAATGCACGTATGATGGGAAACTTCATATAGTTCTATTTGTTTAAACTTTAAAATGCATACTCTTTATTTAGAATTCGGAATTTTCAATGAAAAGAGACCTTCTTCATTTAAAACATAAAGGTTAAACAAAATGTTGAAATAATTTTAGGGCAAACATATCATTACAATTTTAAATACATAAAAAGCAAACCAAGAGATCCTGCAAGGGCCTAAACGGTCACCTGAGTATAATACAACAATTTAGAGGATCCATAGAGAATAAAATAAACTGATAGATGGCACTTTGTTGCCCAAAAGCAAGAGAAATAGGATGATCAGGATCAACAAAATATTTAGTCTAGTATTCAGTTACAACTCATAAAGTAAGTTCTAATCTGTTCCCCATTTGTTGCTTTCACCATGCAGATTATTAACAAAATATTAGTGATGCAGTATTAGTGCTTCAGTACTATTTTTAACTTTAATTTTTAATGTTAATTTTTATTTTATAACTTCTCAAATTGGCTTCTCTTGGTCTTTCAAGAACATTTAATAAGAGAAGTTATTTTAGTCTCATTTTTGTTTATCTATTATTTTCAAGTGTACCTGATCATTAAAACTATGAAAGTACTTTTTTATTAAACAATAAAAATTCTTGTATAATTCTCTTATTCTTTCAAAAACATTATTTACAGTGATTAATTATCAAAGGTGAATGGCAAAGGGGAAAAACTTCTCTCAGTAGAATACAAATTAATAGAGCCCTGGCCAGGACCAGAACACTTGACCAAATGGTCCAGATGTTCAACAAGAGGCCCAAGGACCTTGAATCGCTCTTCTGATAAACTGTACAACCTATCACTTCTATTTGATGATTCTAATCCAAATAGTACCCCAAAAATATTAAATACAACCATAAAATTTCAAAAGTAGGTCAGGGAGACCTACTTTTCATCGTACTCCAAGGACCCAAGATGCATCAACTGACAAAGTTTGATGATTCTAAGCCAGTTAGTTCCTGAAATATTTAAAAGCCATAAATTTTCAAAAGTAGGTCATGGTGACCGACTTCTCAGTCGACTTACTCCGAAGACCCAAGATACATCAACTGACAAAGTTTGATGATTCTAAGCTGATTAGTACCTGAAATATTTAATTATAGTCATATAAATTGAAAAGTAGGTCACGGTGACCTACTTTTCAGTAGACCTACTGCGAGGACCCAAGATGCATCAACTGACAAATTTTGATGATTCCTAGCCAAATAGTACCTGAATATATTAAATACAGCCATAAAATTTCAAAAGTAGGTCAGGGTGACCTACTTTTCAGTTGTCGCACTCCAAGGACCCAAAATGCATCAACTGATAAAGTTTGATGATTCTAAGCAAATTGGTTCCTGAAATATATAATTAAAGCCATAATTTTTCAAAAGTAGGTCATGGTGACCTACTTTTCAGTCGACTTACTTCAAAGACCCAAGATGCATCAACTGACAAAGTTTGATGATTCTAAGCCAATCAGTACCTGAAATATTTAATTATATTCATATAAATTGAAAAGTAGGTCACGATGACCTACTTTTCAGTAGACCTACTGCAATGACCCAAGATGCATCAACTTACAAAGTTTAATGATCATAGGCCTTAAAATGTCCAAATTATGCCTCTAAAATGCTTTGAAATCGAATGCCTGCAAAGTTCAAAAAGTAGGTCACTGTGACCTACTTTTTAATACATAATATGTTTTATTGCCCCAAGATGCATCATCTTGCAAGATTTCATGATTCTAAACCTCTCAGTATTCAAATTTTTGACCTTAATTGTTTTGTAAAAGATTAGCTATAAAATTCAAAAAGTAGGTCAAGGTGACCTACTTTTTAGTTGACGTATTTTGAGGACCCAAGATACATCAACTGACAAAGTTTGATGATCATAGGCCTTAAATTGTTCAAAATATGCCTCTAAATCATTTTGAAAAAGAATGGCCGCAAAATTTAAAAAGTAGGTCAGCATGACCTACTTTTAAGTTAACATGATATGAGGTCCTTAGATGCATCAACTGACAAGATTTGATGATCCTAGTCCTTACAGTAAGCAAAATATCATCATTTTAATAAATTGTAATTTTTGGTCAACTTTGAAGTGACCTTGAGACCACGCCCTTTGCCCCAGGGTGATGCCTTGAACAATTTTTAATCTACAACATATCCTCATCCTTTTGTGTAAGTTTGGTGATAATCTGCCCAGTGGTTCTTGAGAAGAAGATTTTTTAGCAACCAGTACTTTTGTTTCTATTTTCCTGATTATCTCCCCTTGTTTAAGGGTCACAACCCTAGTTTTAGTATAAAAGGGAGTCCTTGGGCCAAGGATACCCTGTGACAAATTTGACAATAATTGGCCAAGGGGTTCTTGAGTTATGGCCCATATTCTAAAAAGTTTACGCACACCGCACAAATGGCCATAGCATTAGCTCTTTGAGCCTTTGGCTCAGAAGAGCTAAAAATCTCATAAAAATACACTTGCTTATTAAAACTTTCACTCTGTGTGCTTACCCTAACACCAGAACCTATGACCCAGGGTCATGAATTTCACAAATTTCATCATAACTATGCACTTAGTTGAAAATTTTCAAAGAATAAACATATTTTCACTATATGATCAACAGAGCCCCCCCCCCCCTCCCCGAAACACCAGACCCCTGACCCTGTGACCACAAGTTTTAAAAAAATTGTAAGAAGCACCCTTTCTCACCATAACTATGCACTTTGTTTATCTGCTCAATACTAAGGAGCAGACAGTATTATTTAATAGAATTAAAACATTTTTACTATATTTTTAATAGAGTCCTACCCTTACACCAGAACATCTAACCCAGGGGCCATGAAACTCACAATTTTGGAAGAAGCACCCTTGTTCATCATAACTATACACTTAGTTTCTTTGCATTAAAAGAATATTTACATTAAATTAACATTAAAATGAAATTATGTTTTTTTCACTATATAATCAATAGACCCCCCCCCCCCTTTACCAGAACCCTGACTCTGGGGCCATGAGTTTCACAATTTTGGAAGTGGCATCTTTGCTTATCATAAACAAGCACTCAGGTTGTTTAAATAATACTCAGGAGCAGAGAAGAAGATTCTCAAAGAATTAATGCATTTTCACTGTATAATCAACACAGCCCGCCATTACACCAGAACTCCTGACCCAGGGGCCATGAAATTTATAATTTTGGAACAGGCACCCTTATTCATCATAACTATGTACTTAGTTTGTTTAATACCCAGGAGCAGAGAAGAATATTTTCAAAGAATTAATGCATTTTCATTATATAATCAATAGAGCCCTGCCCTAACACCAGAACCCCTGACCCAGGGGCCATGAAATTCACAATTTTGGAAGAGGCACCCTTGCTTATTATAACTTTGTACTTTGTTTGTTTGTTTAATACCCAGGAGCAGACATGAAGATTTTCAAAATAATAATGCACTTTCACTGTATGATCTTGCCCAGCCCTAGCTCCAGAACCCCTTACCCTGGGGCCATGAATTTCACAATTTTGGTAGAGGACTCAATGCTTATTACAATCATGCCAACAGTTTGACTGCTTAATGTCCAGGAAGAAGAAGATTTTTAAAGATTGCCCTAATGCATTAATTTTGGTGGTTTTAGCCCCATCCTTCAGGCCCAATGGGGGCAGGGAATATGAAATTCACAACTTTTGTTCCCTTCACCCAAAGATGTTATATGCCAGAATTGGTTGAAATTGGTTCTGCGGTTCCAGAGAAGAAGCTGTTCAAATGTTAATGCACGACGGACAAAGACAGACAAAAACAGATAGCAATGGGTCACCTGAGTGACTCAGGTGACCTAAAAAATGTTGCACCACCTTGCTGTCTGTAATAAGTTCATTAAAATTTTGTTAACAGCAAGAAAAAGAATTCATATAGTTGTAAAGATACTGCTCACGTTTGTGTTTTCTTTAACGTTTATTAGAATTTTTCAAAATATTCGCAATTTCAAAAAGGTCTCTGATATCCATCAATGTCAATTACATGTACATTTTTTCTTCCTTTTATTGTGTACTGACTTTATCTTTCAAACATTACATTGTAATGACTTCAAATTGTTCAATAAATGTTTCCAAATTTTCTCATTACTTTTGCATTCCTAAATATATATTTTTTTATACCAAAAATTTTTTTTCATGGGATGCAAATCTTTGAATTCTATATACCCCCCCCCCCCCCAAAAAAAAAAAACCTTTGCAGTTTCAATTCTTTTTCAATAAAGATATGAGTTTGTCATGAAGTAGTTAGTCAATTACCAGAACTACAAATTATAGAAATTGTTTACCTCTATATGACAATTTTAACTACCCACAGCATTCCTTAAGCCTAATACATGTACAAAGATTTCAACAAACCATTATATTCTGGTACAAAATGAGAATTGATTTTTTTCAATTTACCAGTATCAGGAATTATTCAGGGTGATCTCAACTCATTTAAACTTGCAATAGGATGTTGAAACATGTTTTCTTTTTTATGGAAATTGTGCATTGTTACAACACGAAATGTAATAAACCTGGGATTATTGCATTTTGTGTTATTACACTTTGCATCAACATCAACGCAGAATGTAATAATGCAAAATGCAAAAACAAACTTTTAGGATTACTACATTTTGCGTTATTATATTTTGTGTCAAGATCAGCGCAATATGTAATAATACACTTTTTGGTGGTTACATTTTGTGTTACTTAATTTTTGCATTGAGGACAAAGCAAAATGTAATAAAACAAAATGTAATAAAACAAAATTTTTTTTTTTTTGTATTGTGTTCAACGCGAAACATCACAAAATTGATTGAAACATATAACAATGGGGAAAATCGCTTTACTAAATAGACAGACACACTTATGATTATGAGACAAACAATACGGCTTTTACGGACATTACTAAATCTAATTGTATATTTTTTTAACTCTGTTTTTAACACTTTTATTAAATACTAATAAAACATTAACTTATCTTTGATTGACATGACTATTTATAAATCAATCTGTAATATACATGTATATCCATCACTAACATTGTTAATTACCAAAGATTGACCATGGGTCCATTAAAAACTCTTGTAAGACATGCATGTGGAGATTGGTTAGCACATTAGAAGTGCATGTGTGTGTGTATGGGAGGAGAAGCGTGGGTAAGGGTAACTTTGTATGTTGATCATTGTATTTTTAAGCGCATTTTAAATGGCTAATGAAATCAATATATGATGAAATTAGATCTAATGTAAGAATCAGCATCTGTTTATTTTTCCTTTTGTTTTACTTTCTTTCCGTTTATTTTCTTCATTCACTACTTCAATGAAAATACAGGTAAACTTCGTTATCTCGACATCGACGGGACCATCGGAAAATGTCGAGATATCCGAGGTGTCGAGATATCAGAGTTGAGATTAGACGTCCAAGATTTCACTTTATTTTATGTACATGACTTCAATATAGACTGTAGCTCAACTTATTTCAGCAACACCTCTATTTTTATTTAAAATGTAAAGAAATTGTTTTTTAAAAATCTTATAATTTATAAAACATGTTCTTTCTCTTAATCGAAATCTTTCTAAATTTACAGTTTTTCACTTTAGAGAAACTCTTTAATTTTATACCATATGTACCTTACATTGACTTCAGTATATATGCCAAGTTTAGGGAAGATCTACCGTCTGGTTATTTTTTAGGGACCATCTCAAAATATAGGTACATTTACTATAAGATTATATAGGAAAATACCATTTTTTCCCACTTTGGAGCAAATTATACAAATGTTACTATAGCCTTTTTGTTCAAATTATATTATTTGATGGGTAATACTATATTGTACATTTTATGCAAGAAACACAAAATTCCACCGTCTGGTTTCCAGAGGGGGCATCTCAAAATGACAAAAATCATGATATTTTCCTGTATTTATGGAGTACAACAAAATATGACAGTTACCACAGATTTACATAAAAAATAATAAAAATGATTGTGAGATTCTCAATTTTCTATGTTTAAAATTTCAAGAGCATCTATTTTATACTTTTTATTTCATGACATAATTAATGACCCCACTTTAAGAACTTCGGTTACTCATAACGTCAAAAACACGCTATTACGACGTCTATCTTCCCATCATTTGAAAAATCGTTTAAAAAATCAGTTATTTAAAAACGTAATTAGATTTTTTAACCTTAGATTTCCTAAATTTGTTAATTTTTATAAATTAAGTAAAAATAGTTGCTTTAAAAGAGTAAATATGCTTTATTTTACCATGCTGCGCAAAGTATTGCGCAATGAAAACCCCAGTCGGCCCCCTTAAGCAGAATCGTGTAGATTTATCAATGATATTACCCAAGCTAAACATTAAGCAATTAACGTCTCAAAGACGCCGAGGGGGGTTTGGATTCTCCTACAAACACAGTCTATAGAATTAATTAAGTAGTATGCAGTCAAAACATGGGTGCGAAAGGTGTGAATTTTTGACGACGTCGAGGTACCCGGAGTCGTCCGTGCGTGACGAGCGACCGTATCTGACAGTTAGGTTCAGTAGAACAAAAAATTGCCGATGTCGACATATACCAGGTAAATTTTGCTCTTGGGACTGTGAATATACGTCGAGATAACCCGGGTTGTCGACATTACCGAGGTCGACATATCAGAGTTTTTGCAAATCATTTACTACTGGGACCGCGGACGGACGTCGACATATCCCAGGTTGTCGACATATCCGATGTCGAGATACCGAAGTTTACCTGTAATTCTCAATCTGGTTGACCAACAAGTATGTTATTACATTTTGCGTTGTTGCATTTTGCTTAATCTCGATGCAAAATGTAACAACGCAAAATGTAATAATCCAAAAATCGTGTTATAACATTTTGCGTTATTACATTTTGCGCTGATCTTGACGCGAAATGTTATAATCCTAAAAGTCTGTTTTTGCATGTTGCTTTATTATATTCTGCATTGATATTGACGCAAAATGTAATAACGCAAATTGCAATAATCCCATTTTATTATATTTAGCATTGTTATTACATTTTGCCTTGTAACATAGCATGAGAAATCATAGCTTAGCTGTTTTTGAGAAGATTTTTAAAGATTTTTTCTAATAAATTCCTGTGTAAAACATTGACCAGCTATGGTTGCCCGACCCTACTGTGGCCATGATTCCAACATATTGGAATCTACACTAAGGTTGCTTCCATATAAATATGATTATGGCTTTGGTTTTCCTTGGATGAAGATTCATTCAGTTTTTTGTCCCGATATATTCAAACTTTTACCAAATGTGCCCAACCCTACCCCCAGGGGTCATGATACAAAACTTTGATTCCATATTGTGGCCACCACCTTAACCCCAGGGCATGATTTCAATTATTAACAATCTACACTACCTCTGGAGGCTTTCACATAAGTGTCACCTTTTTGGGGTCAGTGGTTCATGAGAGGAAGAATTTTAAATGACCCCTCCAAATTTATGCCTTTTCTTGATTATTTCCCCTTGGAAGAGGACTTTGTCCTTCATTTGAACAATTAAGAATTTCCTTAACACAATGATGCTTTGTGCCAACCTTATTAAAATTGGCCAACTTGTTCTTAAGATGTTACATGCATTTTTTTCACTACTTTACCTTTTCCTAACATTCTTACGTCCACATCTTCTCGTCCTGATGAAGAAAAACGTTGTTCTGGAAAAAAAATTAAAGTACAATAAATACATTAATGTTGCTAGAGGCCCATTGATTACAAAGCTCACTAGAATCAAATCTACATTTTTCTTTACAAATGAGTATCAAATCTCTCATTGTAACCCTTTTGATTTTAACCATTTTGTGTACACAAAATTAATATTTACATTTCTGACTGTTTTCTGTTTGATAACTCCTTGAAAGTTAAGTGTGTTAATTTCTTGTTATTAAAAAACAAATGTAAATTTCTTCAAGTAACAGGGAAAGTGCCCATGCACATGCACTTCCAGCTGTCATCATATCTTACATCAGTGGCAGGGGACTATGGAAATAAACATGGAATGCCTCATGTATTTTAATCCTATTAGACAGCTTCTTTTTATTTATATTTACTGAATACATTTTTGTTTCACATATAAATGTAAATATAAGGAATCATTGTCTAGTTTGTTGGGTATGCCAGGTTACATGTAACTAACAGTTGGAAATGTTCATAATCATCATAAATTATAGAATATTTGTAAAAAGTTTATATATGAATCTAATAACACCCTTAGACCAATGATTTTACAAAGCTTGGCCACTTTACAATGTTTGTCTTTACATTATAGGTATGTTTTCTATATTCCATAGTAAAAATTTATTGGAATCCATCCCTGCTGGACTCAAACTAATCCAGAATAATTTGAGTGTTCCAATGAACAAAAAGCCTAATTAATCCTTTGCAATCAAGAAAAATATCTATATTAAACTCGTAGGGTACATAATCAAAGAGTGAATCATGAAATTTAAATTCCCAGTACAGGTAAACCAGGAAGTATAAACACATGACAACAGATAAATAAAACAAGTATGTAGATAACGTGATCTTTGTCACTGACTACATAGAGACAATCGGTAGCTTATTGACATAGGACGCCAAAGGGTGAATATTTTTTACACTCTCTACTTTCATTTTTAATTCAAATTTCAAGTAAAACTTCAGAAAACATTAGTTTATTTACCATGAGAAACTAAACAAAATTTTTAAAACTGTTGCATAATAATATCAAAAATAGTATTTTTTAAACTGAAGGCAACTTAAAATAATAATTAATGATTTCTGACTCTAAATTCTACAGCACATTTTAGAATCACCTTGGGCTGTCAACCTTTGTTATAATGTACAGTTTTTGACTTATAATCATCACTTATAGGCTTTTCACAGAAGTTGACAGTTTGTAGAAATATGTGCACCTTGAAACAAACAATTATGACATTATTTTTCAAAGTATATAAAAATGAACATTGTTGTCAATGAAGTGAGAGAGTAGTTGATATTTCCAGAGTCTGAGATTATCTGAGTGTGACATATTAATTGATTCGATCCGAACATGTACTAAATCATTATTTTATTGATGGCAAGCAAGTAAAAATGACAAATACCTGGTAATGATAAATCCATTTCTGAAGTGGCAGTCATTTCCATAGCTACTAAATTTCTATAAACTTTGAATTTGCCACCATGTTAATTAAGATACTAGCTGAACTCCAGAAGTTTGGGTAAAAAAAAACAAAACTGTTGAATGAACCTATTTTGAAATCCCTGGTATTCAAGCATTTTGAGACTTGATACATAATTTTCCCATATATTCCTTTGTTAAAATTTGATCCCCATTGTGGCTCCTCCCTATCCCAGAGGACATCATTTGAAACAAATTTGAATCTACACTACTTGAGGATGCCTCCATATCAATATGACTAAACATAGCTTTTCTGTTCTTGAGAAGAAATATTTTTTCTATATGTTCTTATGTAAAACTTTCTATCCCCCATTGGGCCCCACCCTACCCCCAGGGGTCATTATTTGAACAAAATTGAATTTACACTACCTTAGGATGCTATCATATCAAAATGACTAAACATGATTTTCAGTTCTTGAGAAGGAGATATTTTCCTATATGTTCCTATGTAAAATGTTCGATCCCCCATTGTGGCCCGACCCTATGTCAGTGGGTCATCATTTTAACAAACTTGAATCTACACTACCCGAGGATGCTTCCATATCAAAATGACTATTAATGGCTTTGCAGTTCTTCAGAAGTAGATATTTTCCTACATATTTCTATTTGTTGCAGTTCTTCAGAAGGATGCTTCCACATAAATACGATCAATCAGGGCTTTGCTGTTCTTGAGAAGAAGATTTTTAAAGATTTTTCCTATATATTTCTATGTAAAACTTTGATCCTCCATAGTGGCCCCACCCTACCCCCGGGGGTCATGATTTGAATAAATTTGAATCTACACTACCTGAGGATGCTTCCAAATAAATATGACCAATTAGGGCTTTGCTGTTCCTGAGAATAAGATTTTTAAAGATTTTTCCTATATATTTCTATGTAAAACTTTGATAGTCCATTATGGCCCCGCCCTACCCCCAGGGGTCATGATTTGAACTAACTTGAATCTACACTACCTGAGGATGCTTCCATATACATGTAAATATGACTCAACATGGCTCTGCTATTCTTGAGAAGAAGATTCTTGAAGATTTTTCCTATATATTTCTATGTAAAACTTTGATCCTCCATTGTGGCCCCGCCCTACCCCCGGGGGTCATGATTTGAACAAACTTGAATCTACACTACCTGAGGATGCTTCCATATAAATATGACTCATCATGGCTTTGCTGTTCTTGAGAAGAAGATTTTTCCTATATATTTCTATGTAAAACTTTGATCCTCCATAGTGGCCCCACCCTACCCCCGGGGGTCATGATTTGAATAAATTTGAATCTACACTACCTGAGGATGCTTCCAAATAAATATGACCAATCAGGGCTTTGCTGTTCCTGAGAATAAGATTTTTAAAGATTTTTCCTATATATTTCTATGTAAAACTTTGATAGTCCATTATGGCCCCGCCCTACCCCCAGGGGTCATGATTTGAACAAACTTGAATCTACACTAACTGATGATGCTTCCATATACATGTAAATATGACTCAACATGGCTCTGCTATTCTTGAGAAGAAGATTCTTGAAGATTTTTCCTATATATTTCTATGTAAAACTTTGATCCTCCATTGTGGCCCCGCCCTACCCCCGGGGGTCATGATTTGAACAAACTTGAATCTACACTACCTGAGGATGCTTCCATATAAATATGACTCATCATGGCTTTGCTGTTCTTGAGAAGAAGATTTTTCCTATATATTTCTATGTAAAACTTTGATCCTCCATTGTGGCTCCGCCCTTCCCCCGGGGGTCATGATTTAAACAAACTTGAATCTACACTACCTGAGGATGCTTCCACGTGAGTTTCATCTTTCTTAGCCCTGTGGTTCTTGAGAAGAAGATTTTAAAAAGATGCTATTAATTTTTCACTAATTCTTTATTATCTCCCCTTGAAAGAGGGCGTGGCCCTTCATTTGAACAAATTTGAATCCCCTTCCCCCAAGGATACTCTGTGCCAAGTTTTGTTGAAATTGGCCCAGAAATTCTGGAGAAGAAGATGAAAATGTGAAAAGTTTATGCCAACGACAACAACGACGACAGACAATTTACAAATTTCGATCAGAAAAGCTCACTTGAGCCTTCGGCTCAGTAGAGCTAATAATGAGTTAGTTAATTTCAAAATATCCTCCTTCATGTTACATAATTTTCTCAAAGTCCAAAAAACATTTTTCATCAGTGTATAGAGGGTCCTTAATTAATTGGTTGATTTATTTAAGATTACCCATGCCAAACTTTAACTAGTTTAATCATTTACCAGTACTGTATATTTTTTTACTCTATACTTTAGAGTCACAAGTTCAATTATGGACCCCCGTACCAGTGCCCAGGACGTGATGCGATGTGACCTGTGTGAGACCGCTGTGGTACAGATTCACTGTGATACATGCCTTGTTAACCTGTGCATGGCTTGTGTTGGAAAACACTTTTCTGCTGATCTCTCAAAACCTCATACAATTGTTGATTTCAAGGACAGAAAATCCACTCCCCTCTACCCTATGTGTAAATCTCATAACAAACAACAATGTACAATGTACTGTAATCAATGCGACATTCCTGTATGTACAAAGTGCATTGCATCTGATCAACATCTAGGTCATAAGATATCAGAAATCTTGAAAGTTGTGGATGAAAAAAAGGTTAAATTCATCAGAGAACAGACTGAATTAAATGAAATAATTTACCCAACCTACCAGGACATTGCCTCGATGTACAAAACAGAATGAGTCAGTTAGAAAAGAAATATGGAGACCTCTCAACAGCCGTAACAAAACATGGAGAGGACTGGCACAGAGAAATTGACAAACTTGTCCAGAAACTTAAAGCTGAAGTTGATGAGATGAAAAATACACAGTTACAAACTCTACAGAAACATCTGGATGAAATAAACAAGAAAATTTCTGATATCAAGGATGAAATAAATTCAATTGATGTTGCTGAGGATTCTAATAATATTTCAAAACTGTTTACTATTACAATCAATGTAGACAGATATAGAAATCTTCCACAAAAAATTCTGCCATCTTTGCCTAAATTCACTCCAGGCAGAATTATTGCAGGAGAACTTGGTAAAATATTTGGAACCTTATCACCAAGTTCTCTTACCTCAGATAAACATGGCTACAGTATGAAGACAACACAGAAATCACCAGAAGCTGGATCCTCTCCTCCAATTGAACAGCTGCTTGATGAACCCGAGACTGTCACCACCATAGACACTGGGCATGAAGATTACCTTCGCAATGTGGCCTGTCTGAGTGATGAAGAAATCTGGATAAGTGGAGATGACAGCACCATGAACCTCTACAGCATCAATCAGGCATCACTTCTCAAGTCAATCAAAACCAAGTCTGGGAACATACCATGGGACATAGCAGTGACAAAAAGTGGAGATCTAGTTTATACTGATGACTGGGATAGAACTGTGAACATTGTGAAGAATGAGAAGACAGAGGAGGTGATCAGACTACAGAACTGGAAACCTCACAATGTCTGTAGTACCTCCTCTGGTGACCTCCTGGTTATCATGGACAGTGATGATCACACACAAACAAAAGTTGTCCGTTACTCTGGATCCACAGAGAAACAAACCATTCAGTTTGATGATAAAGGTAAACCTTTCTATTCATATGGTTACATAACTGAGAACAGGAACCTGGATATCTGTGTGTCTGACTGTGGAGCTAAAGCAGTAGTGGTGGTCAATCAGGCCGGGAAACTGAGATTCAGGTACACTGGACATACTCCTGCTCCATAGAACAAAGCATTCCATCCACAAGGAATCACCACAGACAGTCAGAGTCACATCCTTACAGCTGATTATAACAATGACTGTGTCCACATCATAGACCAGGATGGACAGTTCCTCCGTTACATAGACTGTGGACCGTGGGGACCCTGGGGACTGTGTATAGATACAAATGACAATCTGTTTGTTGCTCAGTATGAAAACAGAGAAGTGAAGAAAATCAAATATCTGCAGTGAAATCCAGAACTTAAAATCTTTACATTTTTCTGATGTTAATTCAATGATAGACTCTTTTAAAATTAGATCTGATATTGTATAAACTTTTAAATGCTTATCTAAATTTTGTGTATTTGTTGACAATTTGTGCAAAATGCCTGTGTCATATGTTTACATAGAAATTCTTTCTAATGGTTTATAAGTAAACATAAATAATATTTGCTAACAAGATTTTTTTTTTTTTACTTTTTAGGTATAATGGTGTTAAACTCATCTATATGATAATTAATAATAATATACATGTACACATGTACATGTATCTATCAGCACCACAACTATTTTGAAAAGAAGATGAAAGTTAAAGTTCAAAGGTTACAAGATCAGTAACACTGCATGATATTTTACAAAAACCATTGTGCTGAGCAATGCATGAGCAAAACATCACATCTACCTTAACAGTTCTAAAGATGCTTGGTGTGACAGATGGACATGCAGACAGACACCAGTTCTCAAAATACAAGGTGTGACAGATGGACAACTCGACAGATAGAGTCTTAATAAAGTGATCCCTAAATATATCTTTTGATGAAAACTGAAAACATAATGATGGATTTTAAAAAAAAAAAAAAAAACAAGAAGTCTGTGAGCCAATGCTCACTAGTAATACCCCTGCTCTGATGTTAATATTCCCTATCATGTGAATATACAGAAATTTGGTAAAGACATGCGTACACATAAACACGAAGTTGACATAGCAAAGAGTTTGCTAAAATTTAAAACATCTGCAATGGGTAGTTGCTGAGAAAATTGTAAATCTTAACAGTAGGTGAGTGTAACAATCCAAGGGACAGAACTTGTATATAATTGTAGCCTAGACATGTAAACTTTAATCTTAGGTCAAGATTCTCATTAAAGTCAATTGTGATTTAAGGTAAATATGCATGGTTAGTGTGGACATACATGTACTACACAACTTTTTAGTGAACACATTACCAGATGTAAATTGTTTTACAATGTTAATTTACAATTTATATGGTCAAACGTTTATAAGAAAAAAGTTGTTCTTTTTTGAAAAAGCAATAATTTTCTCAGTGCTAGCAGATCTTTGGCAGGAATGATAACATCTGTAAGCAGTCAGCCCTGCTTGTCTAAACTTTCAGTGTGTTTCAAACACTGATGATAGGGGAATAAATATTTTGTATTTTACCTGTAAACCTAAATTTCTGCTTCAGTGGTTCACAGATTTCTTCCTCCACGGATGACTGACTTTTCCTGCCCCCGTCCAGAATCCACGGAGTCTGACTCAGTGTGCGGCTGTACTTATTGTATCTACCTGTGGAGGAATTAAAAATAATGATATGAATTTGTATATTTTAGTTTTATTTCTACCAACTATAGGTATTTAGATAATACACACTGTTTTGATTTTTGAGAATTACATCACTAAATTTTCTGTCAGTGACCTTGAACTTATCAAAATAATCTTAAAACAAGGTCAAGCCACTTTTACTTTACAGGCATTTTTTTTTCTCATCATGACACTCCAATATGTGTCCATTACAGTCATAATTAAGGTCTATATATGAGGTCCACATAAATATAGTATTTATCCTGCAAAGAAGGTTAAATTTACAGGGAAGAAGTTCATTATGAATGAAAAACAGAAAACTGACCTGCTACAAAGACGGCATCATGGATACACTTGATCTCATTACATTTACAGATACTGTTCTCGTTGCTCTTTGGGATGTTGTAGTTCCTGTTTAATGAACGTATAATTCACTCAATGTACAGTCAAACCCTGATATTTTGAACCGGCCAGGGATAACAAAAACAAAACAAGAGGCCCAAGGGCCTTAACGGTCACCTGAGTATAATAAAACAATTTAGAGAATCCATAGAGTATAAAATGAACTCAAAGGTGAACCTTTGTTGCCCAAAAGCAAGAAAAATAGGGTGATCAATATCAACAAAATAATTAGTCTATTATTCATTAACAGTTCATAAATTAGGATCTCACTCTCACCATACAATATATTAAAAAACTATCAGTGCTTCTTTACTATTTTAATTCCTTGTTGAAATTTCTTACATTGGCCTCTCGTGGTCTTTGATAAACATTTAGTAAGACAAGTTATTTTTGTCTCCTTTTTTTTATCTATTACTTACAAGTCTACCTGATCATTAAAACAAAGAAAGTACTTTTTGTATTATACAATAAAAATTCTTGCATAATTCTCCTATTCTATTAACCTTTCAGGTACATTATTTACAGTGTTTAATTATCAAAAGTAAATGGCAAAGGGGAATAACTCCTCTCAGTGGAATACAAATTAATAGAGCCCTGGCTAGGACCAGAACACTTGACCAAATGGTCCAGATGTTCAAAAATCTGGTAAAAATACCCTTCCTTATTAAAACTTTTACTCTTTTTGCCTCTGATATGCCCAGGTGCAGAGAAGATTTTTAAAGAAATAATGCATTTTTACTACAGATTCACTATAATAATATTCGCTATACATGTGTATTATCAATAGAGCCATCCCTCTCCACTGAGAAACACCAGAGCCTCTCACCCTGGGACCAGAAGTTTGCTCACCATAAGTAATCATTTTGTTTATCTGCTTAACACTAAGGAGCAGACAGGATTATTTAATAAAATTAATGCATTTTCACTATATTATCAAGAGCCCCACCCTTACACCAGTACATCTGACCCATGGGTCATGAAATTCACTACTCTCGAAGAAGCACTCTTGCTCATTATAATTATACACTTAGCTTCTTTGCTTTTTAACCAGAATATTTTCAAAGAAATTTTGCTTTTTCACTGTATAATCAATAGAGCCCCCCCCCCCCCTTTTCACCAGAACTCTTGACCCTGGGGCCATGAAATTCACAATTTTGGAAGAAGCATCCTTGCGTATCATAACAATGTACTTAGTTTGTTTAAATAATACCCAGGAGTAGAGAAGAAGATTTTCAAAGAAATAATGCACTTTCACTATAGGATCTATATAGCCCCGCCCTAGCACCAGAACCCCCGTCCCTGGGGCCATGAATTTCACAATTTTGGAAGAGGCATCCTTGCTTATCATAACTATGTATTTAATTTGTTTCAATAATACCCAGGAGTAGAGAAGAAGATTTTCAAAGAAATAATGCACTTTCACTATATGATCTATATAGCCCCGCCCTAGCCCAGAACCCCTGACCCTGGGGCCATGAATTTCACAAATTTGGTAGAGTCACTCTTGCTAATCATAACTATGTATTTAATTTGTTTAAATAATACCCAGGAGTAGAGAAGAAGATTTTCAAAGATTTTTCCTTTTTTTCATATAATCAATAGAGCCCCCTTTTCACCAGAACCCTTGACCCTGGGGCCATGAAATTCATAATTTTGGTAGAGTCACCCTTGCTTATCATAACTATGCACTCAATTTGTTTCAATAATACCCAGGAGTAGAGAAGAAGATTTTCAAAGAAATAATGCACTTTCACTATAGGATCTATATAGCCCCGCCCTAGCACCAGAACCCCTGACCCTGGGGCCATGAATTTCACAATTTTTATAGAGGGTTCAATGCTTATTACAATGATGCCAACAATTTGACTGCTTGATGTCCAGGAGTAAAGAAGAAGATTTTTAAAGATTGCATTAATTTTGGTGGTTTTAGCCCCACCCCTCAGGCCCCAGGGGGGGCAGGGACCATGAAATTCACAAATTTTGTTCCCCTTCACACATAGATGCCATATGCTAAAACTGGCTGAAATTGGTTCAGCGGTTTCAGAGAAGAAGCTGAAAATGTTCAAATGTTAACACACGACGCACAACGACGGACAACGACGGACGAAAACAGATAGCAATAGGTCACCTGAGTGACTCAGGTGACCTAATAAAATAAATTATATTTCAAAGCATTTACAGCATTGTATCATATTTTCTGATTGATAAATACTCTAACCTGGTATCCTGATATCATCCAAACAAGTTTGGTATACCTAGGGCTCTTAGTTACTTGGGAATGGACTTGCTCCAAAAACATTAATCTGGTCACTCATCCATGAAATCTAGGTCAGATCAAGCATCTGAAGCAACTCTGGATGTGTACTTTCCTAGATAAATCATCAATGTATGTTTGTTCTAGGGTGGGCTTATAGTTATGGCTTACTCACAAAACTTTAACTGGAAAGCTGACACGTGGGGCATAGCATAAGCATATATTGACTTTGTCCAGGTGAGCTAAGAAGCCATCATACAAACCTTTTGAAATATCCATCTGTGATGTCTGATAAAACTTTTGCTACATTAGTCCTTGTGTAGGTATCTCCATAATTCTATAAAATCAATAATTGTTGAATGCTAATGTAAGTTTGCTTAATTCAGAATCTTAATGAAATAGACTTTTTTAATCACAACCAGAATCATCTAATGTATATACTCGCCTATAAGTTGGTTTTTTTGGAAGTTAATATTTGGTCCAAAACTCTATGTCCGACTTATAGGCGAGTTATAAAAAGGATGGCATTTAATAGGATCAATTCCTCTAATATAAGCTTTAAAAATACAACCGACTTATAGGGGGACCGACTTATAGGCGAGTATATATGGTAAGTAATCCTGGACATAGTCTTTAAATAAATGTGTGCATATTTGCAGCATGACCAACTTGTTCAAATTTCCTCGTATTACTGCTGATATTCTTGGTTATAAAAAATAAACTTCAGGAAACCTGAATTTATATTCAAATTACCTTTTGTTGGTTTTTCCTTTTCCTGAATAATGCTGGACTGTGGTAAGACCTACAGTAATTTTACAGATAAATCAAAATATTGTGAGTCAGGTAGAAGTTATATCATTGATCAAAAACAACAATCTTTTAAATGAGTTACATGTAATGTTACAATCTGTTTTTAAATACGTACAGGAAGGTGCATTCCTTGTCTGACTTGTCGTAAGTAAAGTTGAGAATAATGTCAAATTTGCTCTACAAAAATAAAAACATTCATTTGGTCATCAAAGATCACAGCACTTTCCTTGACAAATGTTACCCATAAGTAAGACAAAGTTGTACACTAAACAAATGTTCTGGTAGACTGCATCCATAAATACAACATTTATACATGTTTGGTTCAGGTAGGATCTATAGATACTTCAAAATGAACCTGCTCAAAAAAACTATAATTGTTCGATCAACATTTAAGTGTGGGTCAGATCTAGATCATAAAGCTTATCTGGTAGTATGCATGCTTTTTAAAATGCATTATCGATCTTGTTCAGTCACCATAGGTCTCATTCAAACTTTCACCTGTTTATTCAACTCAGAAATGTAGATCAGATCCAGCATCTGAAGCACAGCTGTAGCGAACATCCCTAGATATATCATCCATACATGTTTGGTCACCACAGAGCTTATAGGAACTTGGCAATGAACCTGCTACAATAAACGAAGGCCTGATCCAGCATCCATGCCAAGTGTGGTAGTACACATCCTTTGATGCATCATCTGTATCAGTTTGGTCCATGTAAACCTTATAGTTACTTGTGAATGAAACTGCTCCAAAAACTCTAATCTGTTCACTCATCCAGAAAATGTAGGTTAGACTCAGCATCTGAAGAAGTGCAGTAGTGTGCATTCTTAGATGCATCATCCATGCAAGTTTCATCCTGGTTGGAGTTATAGGAGCAAGTCCATTCCCAAGTAGCTATAGCCCTACCTGGACCAAAGGTGCATGGATCATGTATCACTGGATATACATTTCTTGACTTGCTTCGGATGCAGGAATTGACCTACATTTGCTCTAAAAATATAATCTGGTTACTCATCCAGGAAATGTAGGTCAGTTCCTGCATCTGAAGCAAATCTGGTAGTATGCATCCCTAGATGCATCATCCTTACAAGTTTAGTCCAGGTAGGACTTAAAATTACAGTCAAACCTCGTTATCTCGAACTCAGTGGGACCAAGAAAAAACTTTGAGATATCCATGTATTCGAGATATCCAGGGTAAAATACTTAAAGAATAAGTTGTTGGGACTTCCAAATCACTTTGACATATCCATGGTATTCGAGATATCAGTGTTCAAGATATTGAAGTTCAACTGTACTTGTGAATGAATCTGCTCTAAAAATTAACTCTGTTTACTCATCCTGAAAATTTAGGACAATTTATAAAGCATCTGAAGCAAGTCTGGTAGTATGCATTGATTGCATTCCTAAATGTATCATCCAGTTGTATGCAAACCATCAGTCTAGGTAGAAATTACAAATACTTAAGAATGAACCTGCTCCATAAACTTTAACCTGGTCACTCATCCAGAAATGTAGATCAATCCAGTATCCGAAGCCAGTCTGGTAGTATGCATGCCTTGATATATTATCAATGCAAATTTGGACATCATAGGGCTTATTATTATAGTTAACTGTGAATGAGCCTGCTTCAAAAACTAACCTGGTCACTCATATAGAAAATGTAGGTCAGATCCAACATCCAAAGCCAGTCTGGTAGTATGCATCCCAGAATGCATCATTCATGCAAGTTTGGTCACCATATGGCTAATGCTTACTTTGAAATGAAACCCACTCCTAAAACTGTAACTTGCTCTAACTTGAACCTGGTCTCTTATCTTATTGTAGATCAATTCCTGCATCCGAAGCAAGTCAAGAAATGTACATCTGATGATGCATGATCCATGAATGTTTGGTCCAAGTAGGTCTATAGTTACTTGGGAATGGATTTGTTCCTATAACTTCAACCAGGATGCCAACTATAGCATAAGCTCATCTTGACTTTGACTTTTGACTTTGTCAAAATGAGCTAAAAATAACCATTGACCTTTAACCTCTTCTGTGTCTTTTTCAAGATAAAAATTAGAAAGCTTTCTCTGCATTGATAACATCACAGCTTACTTTACAACTACTTATATCTATATGTTACATTTTAATTAGTGAGTGCTGTGTTCTTTAACTGTGTCTCTTACTATTACTATGATATGGTGATGTGAAATTTATTCAATTTATTTATATGTTTATCAGCTTATATCATTTTAAGAGTTCTCTTGCAAAAATAAACCTTGAATTCAAAAGGTGCATTTAGAGCCGCTGCTAAAATAGGACCACTCCTCCATTTCCAGACATCTTTAACTGATGCTATGTCCTCTATCACTTTACATTCATACAGAGATCTGAAAACAGACACATGGTTCTTATAAATAATCCTAGCCTTATGTCATAAGCAAGGATAATGGACTGGAAATGATGATGGATAATTTGGAAAGAGGCCAGGTAAAATGTACTCACTTAAACTTTTCATTCAGCAGCAGAAGGAAAGAATGCTAAAAAGAGAAACAAAAAAAAATGAAACAAGTTAAACAAGACTGTAAATAAACTCCTTTGAACCTTTAATAATAGATAGTAGATATTAATTAAATATGCTTAATCTTTAGTAACATACCTCTCTAAGAAGTGAACACACAGGTGTAGTCAGAGAACAAATGAATGTCTTGAACTGATGATCACTGGATTTCACTGTCTCTACAATCTGTTAAAATGTGGCAAGGTAAAATTTATAGACACTTCATATAGGTGCTATATACAAAATCTGGTTTACATAGGACTGTTTAACACAAGTTTTATAGTCACTTACTCTGTTAAGAAACTCTCCCTCTAGGTACACCTGGAGAATTCCCAAACAAGCAGGACAAGGGAGGGAAGAAAATATACCTTCCTGACCATCTGCCAGTGATATCACTTTCTGGGTCAATTCCTAGGGAGAACAAATTAGCTGTTTTCTTTATTGACTCCAAAATATGCAGTTTATATTATGATCAGTGCATTTTTCTTTTTTGAAAGATAATCTACCACTTTAAAAACATATTAGGTTAAACAGTGTCTTTACAAAATTATACCTTACACTTTCAGTGAAATAAGGGGAAAAAGATTCAGTGAATAGGCATGATTACCTCAATGGAGACTCTAAACACTGCAGTATCCCCCTCTCCCAGGAACCTGAGGACACAGCGAGGACAAAGTCCATTCTGGGTCAGGAGGAGGACTATGTCCTTTATCTCTGTGGGATCTGTACTGAAAAACTGTCAACAGAGAATCTAAATAATTACACAGAATCACATAAATAAGAGGGTATCTCGGGTCATATGGGGTTTTTAAATGCTGAAAAACTAATAAGGAAGTGTATAGGGTTTAAAGAGTAAATATCAACTTTCAATAATCTATCATTTATTAATCTGCTTCAGTTTTACAGCATACAATGGATATTAAAAGAACATTCCATTCATCAATGTTAGTTTTCATTCTTGTCCTTTTATTATTGTTAATAAACAATCATATGTGGATTAGGAAAGGAGGTGCACAATAAAAAAAAGCAAAACAAAACAAAACAATAAACAGAAATGTTAATAAAATTTTCTGTCATTGACCGTAATCCACTGTTAGCATACTTCATTCTGACAATCTGGCAGGAAACACCAGGGATAATTGTGAACCAGCATGCTATGTAAGTTTTCATTAATTGCACCTCCACCTTTTCTACTCAACACTATTGAACTAAGTCTGCTTCAAAAAACATTGGCCAGATCATTGATTGGTATTCAATTGATAAGTGCAGTAATGTATGCTGATATGTACGTCTAGCTGCACTAGCTGTCAGGGTAATATCAAGCTTATCACCAGTAATAGATGTGCTTGCCCAAAACCTACATCCACGCTACTCCTCTCATTCTCAAGATGATTATAAGAGACACATAACATTGGCATTATCCTGTTATTTACTTCGCGAAGTAAATAAGTTCGACGTCGTTCACGTTAACGTCAAATTCATCCTTGAATATGTTTACGACAATACTTACACATTTTGACTTCAGTTCCACACATTTCGACTCCTTTCATTTTCAGTCCATATACAACATATTTATTTATTTCATACAAAAACCCATAAAGTATACAAGGCGAAGCAAATAACAGGAGTAAATAGCGACGCAGGTTCTTTAAATGTACTCAAAACTCTGGAACTTATTTGCTTCGTGAAGTAAATAACAGGAGTATATATATACAGAGGCGAAGCAAATAACAGGAGTATATATATACCGACACAAATCATTCTAAATAGCACTTCAAGGGGAAGAATTCCCCAGGAAAAGGGTTTCTTTGGGGGAGAAATATATAAAAATGGGGCTTGGTATTTGGGGGGGATCAAGATAAAAGATGACAAATGTAGAAATAGGCACGTTTTTATACAAAGCGAAGCAAATAACAGGAGTAAATAGCGACGCAAGATCTTTAAATGTACTCAAAACCCTGGAACTTATTTGCTTCGCGAAGTAAATAACAGGAGTATATATATACAGAGGCGAAGCAAATAACAGGTGTATATATATACCGAGACAGATCATTCTAAACAGAATGTGAAAAATAAAAGTAATGTAAAAAATTAAAACTAGGATTAAATATTTCAATCATGCGCAGACATGGTATTTTGTCAATAAAATAATGTAATGGGTAAGTAATGATATCGATGTAATAAATCTGTGACATCCCTTATAAAAATAATATAGCATCCACAGATGAATTTCAATTTTTTTTTTTCAATTTATTTATTGACAACACCATCATACATTGGCATATAGTCATGAATACAATAAACAATAACATACATAAAATCAATAAAAATATTCCAGTAAGCATATCAGTTATGTTGAAGGATGTTGAATTTGACGTTAACGTAAACGACGTCAAACTTATTTGCTTCGTGAAGTAAATAACAGGATAATGCCATAATATTTTGACATGTTTTAAGACAGAAAAGTTTCAAAGATTTTTTTCAACACTGTCACTTACTTTTCCACTCATGGGCGCAGCCATATTGGATGAGAACGCCCTCTATCCGGAAGTTTTGGTTTTTACTAAAAATTTTCAGACGGATAGGATGTAGTAATTTTTCATGTTTTGAAGAAATCGTAAATGTTCTGACACCATATTTCCTGTTTAATTAACAGATATTTATCAGATGGTAAATACAGAAAGCAAAGATCAATTGAAAGAGGGCTATAGAATTTTTATCATTCTGATTTTATATGTTAACCATAATTTCCTCTGTCAATTTATATTCTGTTTTCTGTTTGGCATAACGCTTTTATGTGAATGGCCATAGAATTTAGTCACACCACGTACATTGCATGTATTATTGATTTTAAGGCTCTATATATTAATGGAGAAATTCTGGTAGTGTTTATTGGCACTAACTGTGTTATGACAATTTCAGGTGACAGTTCAAATGGTTTGACAAATGCAGGAAAGTAATGTTGTGGGCAGTGTAGTACCTTAGGGGAGGTCTGACCATGTATTCGGAGTGGTCCTCCCTCCAGGATGAGATTCAGTGTGATAAAGCAAACCAGAGCGTCCTCCACAAATTCCCCGCCTATGTTGGCACCACAGTCGCCACTTCGGTGGTGAAACACATTGCAACCAGTCTCAGCATTGCTGCCAATAATCATGAGCTGTGTCAGCTTGACTCTGACAAAGAGGTCAAATGGACCATGGAAGTAAGTAAATCATAAGGACTGTTATTCTTCCTTACTTGAGTAAAAATAATTAAAAGTATATCAGATGGCAAGTATTACCTCACTTCTTACAGTGGAATCCCTCATGAACTATTATATGTGACCTACATATTAACATCAAGCCCTAATATATTGTCACCCATTTATTTTGTAGGTGCTGTGTTATGGCCTCAGTCTCCCACTGACAGAGTTAGACACCATTAAGGAGTGTGTCAATGTCTACTGTATTTGGCTTTCGGCCTGTATGCCCCCTTCTCCACACCAGGAATCTGTCCCCCAGCCCCTTAAAGATGACCCAGACCCCTATATACAGGACATGATTCACCATCTTCTTAATCTGTTTGTACCTCGACCAGGATCAGGTATACATGGGAGATTAACAGAGATAAAAAAGTCAATTCTCATTATCTTTAACTTGATGGAACTCATAAACATTGAGATATCCATGAGTTTGGGATATTGAGATTAAAATACATATATAAAGAAAAAGTGGTTTGGACTTCAAACTTACGATGAGATATCCAGGATATCAGTGTTTGAAATATTGAAGATCAACTGTATGTGTACAGTGATTGTTAGTGTTTAATATCAAATGATTATTTTGACTCACTGAGCAATAACAGATATCTTTAGTAAAGTCGAGAGTCATTGGTTATGCATTTGAATGCTGTATACAGAAAAATTTTTGCCCGTTTCATTTACGTCCACATTGTCAAGGATAAATTCAGAACATTGCAAACTCAATTGAAACAACGTTATCTTTCTTAGCGAAACTGTGTCTGCCTGAATTAAAAATGGGGCGAAAATGTTCACAATTAAGATAGGGCAAAAAACCCAGTAGAAAATGCCTATCAATGCCTGTTCATTGTAACAATAAGTTTTGAGTATTGAATGGCTGATAATAGTTATGTTTGAGCTCATAGATTTTCACTAATTTTTAAATGTTTTGAAATTGTATGTACTTTTAAAAAACAGAAAAATATGTAAATCATGATGGATTCGTATGTCTTTGCTAGATGTTGACAGTGTGAGGAAACAAGCAGTCTTCTGTCACCGAGTTCTGAGACAAATTCAGGCCATTGCTAAGGAATCCACCATGTTGTCTAGGGAATCGTGGGAAACATTGCTGAAGTTCCTGTTGGCAGCCAATGACAGCTTACTGTCACCACCATTAGAAAAAGGTAAAGGGAGAATACTCTTATATGTTGTTCTTTTAATTAAGAACAAATATTATCTTTATATGCATATATGAAGCTACGTTTATATTAATCTATACATGTAAAGAAACAAAAAACTTTTTATGAATGTACTTTTAAATTAGATTGTCATGATTTGGTGAATCTGGGCTTTACTTACTTAGTATTATGTTATAGATTGTGAATTATATTTATATGTAGTAGTTAATAAAATTCTTCTATATTATATGTATGTTTATTATCTGTAGTGTATCTAATGATATGAGTAGTATTGATCCAAAGATAAAACACTAACGCCAACTTTAAAATAATGTTTGCTTGCCCTCTCCCGACTCAGGATGAAAAAATTAAAGTCAGTAGGTTGGTGAGAAATTTTTATTTTTTCAAAGAAAACTTCAAAATCAATGCTGAATTATCATAATCTTTTTTCTGGAATGCAGAAAAAAAAATTGCTCCCTGCAGGTTAAAAAAAGTTTTGATTCGGGCCAATTGGTCGGGAGAGGACAACCAAACATTTTTTTAAAGATGGCCTAATGTAGGGGTCCTTGTTTGATTAACAATTTCATTGCAGTGAATTTTTTTTCTTCTCTGATCCTATGTTAGTTTCTATACTTAAGATTGTTATAGATTTTCTGTAGATAGGGTTGGATACCGTTAAGGATGAAATGGTATGATACCATACTCGTCTGGTATTTTTGAAATGATACTGTACAGTACTTTTTAATGATACCTGGATCAACTGATCAATACATATGATACATGTATAACAAATGTAGTTTCAGTATGTATGCTAACATATTTTTTAATGACTTTATGATTTCTGATTTTATTAAAACTTATTTTTCAATAAAAGATCAACAAACCAATAAATTTAGAAATACTATCAAAAATAATCATGAAAAATTTGGCTACAACAAAGTTAACATAAACCATTTTATGTGATTGCCATGTTTATGACGACATTAACGGACACAGCTGCTTATAAATTCAAGGCAAAAATTTTTATAGCAATTATAGTATTTTAAATAATTTAAATCTGTTATCATTTATTAAAAAAGAGTAGAGTAAGCAATGTCAATGAGCACTTTACTGAAAGTTATACTTTTCAATTACTAATTGAAAAGTTAGGCAACTTACAAAGCAAGTCCCAATATGCCTTATTTTGTAATTTAGCATAACCTTACAATACACATTGTAAAATTCAATCTTGGGGTTATGTATTTTCAAAAGTATGCAGTTTTTTCAGTTAAGTTGAACACGTTCAAATATATGAAAGAAAAAATATTAAATACCGATATTGGACAATGATACCTGTATATGAAATGAAATGGTATTTTACTGGTAATTTTAAAACAACTATGTGGTACGGTAATATGAATACCCAATACTGGTATCCAACCCTATCTGTAGAATATAATACTGGTACATAACACACTTTGGATATCCCTCATAATTACACTCAAGTTTAGAAGTGCTGTAGGTTTGATTTTTGATTTGACATGTTTAGTCATATAGTTTGTGCCTATATGCAGAAAACATTATATTAATTAAAACAAAATATTTACACATAACTATAAATCTTTCATCTAAAATTATAGAATTCTTATACAGTTGCTATCATATCTACTTGAAAATAATCACAAACATGTCTCCACTAACTTTTATACATTCAACTTTGCTGCCATTTCTGTTCTAAGTTTTTAGTTTAACTGTCATGTCAATTAAATGCTTATGATGTGACAAGCTGATTATTTTCCTGTTCCTTCGTCAGATGCTGCATTTTTAAAAGAAACCAAATCATGTACCTTCCAGATAACTCTTTCAAAATTTTATATACTGACTGCAAACTGCAAAATTTATGTTCTTTTTTTTAATCTGTTAACTGTTAATTCACTAATGAACTCCATTCTTTGTTTTTTGTTGACACAAGAATCTGCTTCAATTTTTATGGCAGTCTTTGCCACAATCACGCCTGATTATAGGGGGCACACTTTGGCTGTCCTTTGAACTCTCGGCTTAATGTTAATGCATTGTTTACATTGGAGATGATTGACAGCATGCTTATCTTTTTGTTAATGCAGACGATTCCGGATTAAGTTCATGTAAGTTTTCTGTACATTTTTGGTGTGTATGGTGATTCATTTCAGCACACAAAAATTCTCACACTTTTAGACCTTTGGATTTGCTAGCCAGTTAAAGCACTCAGTTTGGATTTAAACTAACAGCAAATAATGAAAACACATAGAATCACAATGCATACAAATCAGACCTATATACGTGTATAATTAAATATATAAGTATCCATTGCAAATGATAAGTTAATTCATTTACACATAAAAGTGAATATATAAATCATGCTCCTCCAAAATTACCACAATCACATGTATGCAATTATTTATATACAGCTTATATTATAACTTACTGTACCAGAATGAAATAGAAACTCACAATAAATACAGTATCATTATAGCTAGATAATATTAAAAAAAATTTTAAAATGAGAACAACCCTTATTTTGACACTTTTTAAAGTGACATTTTATGAAGATAGTTTGTGAAAATTATTAGAGGTCTATTTTGAAAATTCAATAATAAAAATCAAATATTTATAGTTTGATAAATTTTAAGATTTTAATTTTGGTTAAATAGAATATGTACCGCAAGATACAGATATTAATTTAGGACAAAATTTAGATTTGTTTCTTGTATAACAAATGACAAAATTTCACTGTTTTTTTTAATGGTATATTGCATCTTATGATTTTAGACTTTGCTTTTTATCTGCATTATGTTAATTGCTATAATTTTTTGCTTACCTTGGGTGAAGTGCTTGTAAGTTCTTGGTATAAAACAAAGTTGTTATGTACACGTTGACATTTTAGGACATTATTATTGTCTAAAGACCACAAACTGATATGTGTAGTTGCCTCATCACTATAATTGATTCTCTATAATTTAAGCTTTGTGTTATTTAATGTCAATGCTACATTGTGATGTGGTGTTTTAGTCAACCCTATTAGTTTGTCCAGATCATTTCTTGTCCAATAGGAGACCTAGAAACTTTTCTCACCTTGAAAGCTGATGAAACTTAGCAGGAATGTTTGTCACAAACTGATGAAAGCAGGTAATAAGTCTATTTAGCAAGCTTAAAGGCCTGCGGTCATCAAATCTTGTCTATAGATGCATCTCATTAGAAAGGTATGTTGAAAGATGGTTATGAAATCTCTTGGAATAATACAGCTGTGTACACCGGTACATTCTAGTACATTGTAGTATTCAAATCTCATCTATACCATCATCGTCGGAAACCATGGGTTTTCTCTCAATTACACTGCATTTAGTGTAACAGAGAGAAACCTGTGGGTTCCGATGATGCCTTATATCCCATACTGTGAAGCCTATGATAATAAAGCCCTGTCTGTTGATGTATCTTTTTGGAAATTTGTGTCACAACCAAAATGTGGATCAAGGTGACATTATTTTGGAGTTATATTGGCATGGTATGACTAAATTTAAACTCAAATCCTATCTGATTCATAGTATTATTTTACTGTGTGATTTCTTCTTCACACTGCAGGGTTTTACTTGATGCAACTTTTATAGGAATTAAGACATAGGTAATCCAAAAGTTAGTCAAAATGACCTGATTTTCAAATTAATGGCAATGCATGACTTCCAAATTTAATGGCTATGCATCTCTGATTGTGATGAGGTCATATCCTTTGTGAATGGAGTAGGATTATCAAACCTTGTCAGTTGATGTTTTCAAGTTACAAAAACTGTTATTTGCATTTAGTTTCTGACAGGTATTTTGTGTGCCCTTGCAGAGAACTTTTTTTTCTCAACCTAATTATTTTGGGGGGCTATGTCCTAGGTAGTTACTACATGTATTTACATCCTTTACGCACTTTCAGTAGATGTTTTTATACACAACATGATGAGTTTTATTCATATTTGCTGCCCATAATAATGGACATTGGACAGTTAATTGATACTATAGAAAATGAAAAATGTTATACAGTCAATATTCCAAAATATGATGAAATCCAATGTAGCAAATGTGCATGTGTACATGTATATTACAAGTAGACAAAAACATGCATGTAAATAGCCATAAGGTAAGCTGAAAAGTTGAGTAGATAATTAAGTCAAAAGTATGTTTTGCCTATTTCCGATTGTTTACAACTCTAATGTTTTATTTTCGTAATTTAATCTTTTCTTAAAATTATTGCAAATTAACAGTCAAGTTCAATTTAACACCACAGAGCTTATAATTAAGAATGCCTTGAAAAAGAGTATTTTGAATGTTCTTGGCTTGTAGTTGACTTGCTTTTATCACAATCATGTGCTATCTTTATACCAATTCATTTACTTCAGCTGTGTATTCAGAAAGGCTTACTTTGCTTTTATGCAAATGTATACAGATTCAGAGTTTTATTTGTTCAATAAATGCCAATGAAGTAGAAACTTTGTTAAAAATAGGACAATTTACAATGTTTGTCATGTTATATGGAGCAACCCTATTTTTTTTTATTCTACGTCATCCCAATGAAGTTGAGAAGAGCTTGTTGTAAAACCTTATTTGTTACCTCTGTTGTCAACACTCTGGGTTTACAGGTTCAGGTTCAATCGCAACTTCCCTGAGCCTTTCCGACAAGCGGAAAAACAACCTTGAATGTGTCATGTAAGCATCCATGACTACCTCCCCTTTTCATCGCAATTTTAACATTCATTTTGATCGGTAAATAAGGATTTTTAAAATTACCAATTATGCTTTGGATGCTACATGTAAGGTGTATATTTTTTATATGGGCTGCCAGGTTAAAGTTTTTGAAGCAGGTCTATTTCCAAGTAACTGTTACAGTAAATCCCATCCTGGACCAAATTTGCATAAATAATGCATCCATGGATACAAACTGTCTGTCTTGGGTACTGTAATCTCATTTAAATTTTCCAGATAAGTGGTCATGTTAATGTTTTTAGATCCTTTCCCAGTTAGTTATTTGACCAAACTTGACAAATTGGCATGGGTGATCCATCTAAGGATGCTTACTTCCAGTCATACTTCTGATACTGCATCTGACCTATATTTCTGAATGAAGGCAAGTATTTTTGGAGCATGCAGATCCATGCAGATTAAATGTAAGCCAAACCAGTTGACTAAATTTGCATTCATTTAATGCTGCATTTGACCTATTTTTCTAAAAAAAAAAAAAAAAAAAGGCCAGTATTTTCAGAGCATGCAGATCCATTCCCAGGTAAATTTAAGCCAAACCTTGACTAAATTTGTATTGATGCTGCATTTGACCTATATTTCCTGGATAAGTGGTCCAGTAAGATTTTTGGAGGTATAGTGCACAATTGGCTTTAAACACTAGCCAAACCAAAGCTGCATCAGTGATGCATCTAAGAATACATACTGCCGATTCCAGCATATTCTATGCTTTCTATGCTTTCTAGTCATGTTCGTATGACATTCAAATGATGAAATAATCAAATTACAATCACTTTGCATGCAACTTAATGTCGCTAACAGATGACATTCTTTGAGGTAAGCTGTGTATTCTTTGACTGCCCATGTTTCACTGCAGCCCTGTGGTAGCCAGTGAAATATCTATAATTATGTTGTGATGTCCTTATCAATCTGAATATTCATTGGTTCATTTTATGTCTATCCTTCAAGACTAGGGATGTGCAATTTTATTGGTATACCGGTATATCATGATTATTTTTACTGTGTGATACATTTATCATGAAAGGGAGACTTAAATACCGATATTTAGTACATAATTATAAATTTCTTGTTCTTCAAAAAAATAATTGTAATTTGCATTAAGCAGTAAAAGATAATACTTATTGTTGTATAGTTCTGTCATATTTATTTCAAAAAGAAAGGATGTCCTGAAAATTTACAAAGTCATTCTTTGTTTGAATTATAATACCTAAAATGAAATATAAATATGATTTGCACAAAAATTATCTCCCTTCGCGAACCTTTTGATATAATTATAAGATCGTCCCTCTTTACATCTTTCAAATTGGTTTTATCACACGGCATTGTAATATGTGATCAATGAGATTTTCCCTCAGGACCTCTTTTGTGCAGTATTGTTATACATATATATACACTAATGGCCTGTTTATTTCTTTGATCAGATGATATCGGGGATCAGCTGTGTGAGAGGGTCCTCAGTGTCCTCTTTGAGATCTGGCTCCTCGCCTGTCACAAGTGTTTCCCCTCCCCATCCCTCTGGAAGACTTTCCGAGCCATGTGTATCAACTGGAGGCATCACGAATCCCTGGTGGTCCAGTGGCACAAGGTCAACCATGCCCTGACCTCTCATGTTCTGGGCTTCACCCAAGGACCGGACTATCCCAAACTGACACTCGGTAAGTTTCTCAATTGTCATAATAGTCAACAGTGATAACTTGACTGTAAGCCTTGTATAAAAGATGCTTTAATTGCATGATTGGGTCATTTCTTGTAGTTTTTTAGGTCACCTGAGTCACTCAGGTGACCTATTGCTATCTCTTTGCAATAATGCATTATTTCTTTGAAAATCTTCCCTACTCCTGGGTATTATTGAAACAAATTGAATACATAGTTATGATAAGCAAGAGTGACTTTACCAAAATTGTGAAATTCATGACCCCAGGGTCAGGGGTTCTGGTGCTAGGACAGGGCTATATAGATCATATAGTGAAAGTGCATTATTTCTTTGAAAATCCTTTTCTCTACTCCTGGGTATTATTGAAACAAATTGAATACATAGTTATGATAAGCAAGAGTGACTATACCAAAATTGTGAAATTCATGACCCCAGGGTCAGGGGTACTGGTGCTAGGGCGGGGCTATATAGATCATATAGCGAAAGTGCATTATTTCTTTGAAAATCCTTTTCTCTACTCCTGGGTATTATTTAAACAAATTAAATACATAGTTATGATAAGCAAGAGAGACTTTACCAAAATTGTGAAATTCATGGCCCCAGGGTCAGGGGTTCTGGTGCTAGGGTGGGGCTATATAGATCATATAATGAAAGTGCATTATTTCTTTGAAAATCTTCTTCTCTTCTCCTCGGTATTATTTAAAGAAATACATGGTTATGATAAGCAAGGATGCCTCTTCCAAAATTATGAATTCATGACCCCTGGATCAGAGGTTCTGATGTTAGGGCGGGGCTCTATTTATTTATTAGATAGTGAAAATGCATTAATGCTTTAAAAATCTTCTCTGCACCTGGGCATATCAGAGGCAAAAAGAGTAAAAGTTTTAATAAGGAAGGGTATTTTTACCAGATATTTGAACATCAGGACCATTTGGTCAAGTGTTCTGGTCCAGGCCAGGGCTCTATTAATTTGTATTCTACTGAAAGGAGTTATTCCCCTTTTCCATTTACTTGTGATAATTAATCACTGTAAATAATGTACTTGAAAAGTTAATAGAATAAGAGAATTATGCAAGAATTTTTATTGTATAATACAAAAAGTACTTTCATAGATTTAATGATCAGGTAGACTGTAAGTAATAGATAAATAAAAAATGAGACAAAAATAACTTGTCTTATTAAATGTTCATCAAAGACCAAGAGAGGCCAATGCAAGATATTTCAACAAGGAATTAAAAGAGTACAGAAGTGCTGATAGTTTGTTAAGGTCTTCCGCTCCAGGCGGAAGACCTTCTACTGATTCTGATGGTTAAGATTATTCTTATTATTCTTTTTTTTTTTTTCCTAGACGCCAACTTTGAGACCTCATATCTTGCTCATTTCTCAACGGATTTTGCTCAAATTTGCAGGGTTTAAAGACGTTACAAAATTCTATCAGAATGCTGTCAAACATTTCAAAAACCCACTTCCGCTTTTGGGTTATCTCCCTTTAAATGAAAATTTAGGGGGCTTCATTTCCAGACAAAGGCTCAGAGACTACTGAAGCTGGAGTAGAAATTCTACCGAATTTAAATAATAGAAGCACTGAAGTTGTGCACATCGGTTTTTGTTTTTCAATTTCTGTATTCAAAATGGCGCTAGAGAGGGGTCAAAAATTAGAACGCCAAAAAGAGCGAAAATTTACACATATTTTCCTTTTTATCTTCTAAACTAAAAATATTTTGATAAAACATGTAGAATAAAAGTTGTGCACAATTTTAAGGCCTTTCATTTGAGACCACTAAAAAGGGTCTGGCGCCTAAAATTAGGGAGCTGGGGCCCTTTAAAGTTTTTGCTTTATAACTCAAAAACGGTAAATATTTCGAAATAGCTGCCGTAATTAAAGTTGTTATTTAACATCTTATTGATCTCAAGAAAATGTTATTTTGTTTGAGTCTTGTGTTCTAAATGAGCTAGAAGCATAACACATATACAGGTAAGTGTTTTCATTCAGCAAGTAAACCAGAGCTCTTCATGCGTGTAATTAAAATAAACTTACTATAAATAATAAACCTTGCTATATTAGATGCTAATATTCTTTAGAATCAGGTTTTTGAAGTATTTTGTGCTTTATTTCCAAATTTTTTACTGACAACTTTCCCTTTTATTTCGTTTGTTTTCAAATTTGGATAAACCAGTCTACTAAACAGGGAAAAAAAGATAACCTTTTCTTCTTATCATATAAAAACAAACAATTAAGTCAGAAAATAAAACAAAACTTTAAACATAGACTATTCACAGCCATTAAGTACACGCCTTTTACATTCACCTCGTGTGTTTACAATTATGTAACCCCTCCCTCGATAGCGCGTGGCAAAGGAGGTCACCGAGGATCAATCGGCGTGTGAACCAGCGACCTAAGGTCATACACAAAACAAACCATAGAATGGCCATTCCAAATACATTTTAACTAAGTGATGAGTGGATAAATATGTTGAATCTTTCAGATTATTTCATATCTTTGATTAAGTCGCTAGTACATTTCGATTTATATTTTATTCGCTCAATTACAAGAAAGTTGCATATTTATTCTTATAAACATTGCATTGTTGAGATAATTGCGCTTTGTGGAAAATTACTTTAAAATCATTTCGAATCTTTCATATGATTCCGTCTTACTGTTTAATTATCACTCGTTTGTTTTAATCAGCTAGTCTTAAGTGCCTTTCACTTATTCACTTCAAATTCAATGCATTTTGAATGCCGAAAAGACCACTTTCTTTGCGTATTAAAGAAACAGTTTATTTATCTCTCTAATGTTATTATTTAACGAGTTGCTATTTCTTTCATGAACATTAAACAGGATGTATATAATTAAAAATGATAATTGTATGTAGAGGTCACATTTTTAATTGTCAGGAAAATCGAAAATAAAATTAAGTACTTTTGAGTTTGTATTATTTTCTTCCTAACTTACAATATTATTGCATACAAAATACTAGGTCGGATGCATGTAACTTAACCGCCTCAATATTTCACTTGTATTTGAAAATTCTATCGAGCGTCGAATGAATTTTACCCGTTAAAAAGTGTACCAAAAAAGAACCCTTCCTATGCAGTTTTCTTTGGGAATCAATTGGCTTAGATAGTCTACTCCGACATGTGTTGACAAAACTCACGCAATGAGAAGCCATACATTTCAAACTTGTGACCTCTTGGTCAGTGCATGTGAAGATTACGCATGGCAATTAGTGTCTGGAAAACGAAGTATGTTTTATAAGTTATTTGACAGGTTAAGATTTGTTCTCATTTTAAATTAAATACAAACACAAACCCTTTATTTTCTTTGTTATTTTATACCGTCAGTTATATCAGATAGATTGTTTTAAAAACGTGTTGTTTAGGAAGATTAATCTTATGCATTTGTTTTATTTCATCTAATAAATTGAATTTACCCATGACACAAATTATTGGTACGTGCATGTAAGTACGCGTAAATGCGATTTAATTTGTTTATGCGGAAGAGCGCCCAAAATAAATACACTTCGAACTCTGGAATTTCCCTATTTTACTGTTTAAATCATAGGTCCGCTCAGCTGACGAGTTGTTTTAATAACGGTAATAAATTATATTCAAGTCCTGGCCAGCGATCGTTACGGTTGGTGACATTGCAATTAAACAGGTCGATACTAAGGTACTAAGATACTAATGGGTGTATATATTTTCACCTAATATGTTTTCGTTGAGTGTTTTCATAAGAAGTAAATTGCTGGAGGATATCATGTTCTCCCTGATCACATCGATAGCGTGTAGAAACAGAGGTATATGAACACACGCTTTTGTGTACAAAGCAAACGTGTAAACCAAAAGGATGGGAAAAAAACGACGAAATAAAAACATTTCTCTATTAACTGAAATTATTGTCTTTAGACAGATAAAAATAAATGATTATCCGCCTGAGAACATGTGAAAATTATACCCAAATACAATGCAACGAAGGATTTTGGGTTTAATCCCGAGTACACAATTATAGCAATGATGTGTACATGTACATGCAGAATACCTCTTTTTTTATCCTTCGTCCATGTGTTCCTCCTTAACGGAAAAAATTATCAGTAAATTATATTATACCGAACGAGGTTGAAAAATGCCGAACTTTATTTCTTAAAATTAAAAGCAATTATCCGACTTTTCTCATATCACTGTAAAAATGCCGTGAAAACTAAAACCGTCTGGTTTGACTTTGTCAACGCGTTTTAGATCGGGTTTGAGATTTTTATTAAATGTCTGGAGTATTTCGCTTATTCTGCAAGTCCGTATAATGAAAGAAAACACTGACAGATTTAGAGGAAGTTCAGGGGGCCTGCCCCCACTGGCGGATTTAAGTGGGGCTTGGGGGCGCACGCCCCCCCCCCCCCCTAAAATTTTCAAAATATGACATGACTAATATTAATAATGCCATACTTTGGTTTTATAATTAATGGTCAATTAAAAAATGGTAATTTTATTTTATGACCAAGTATCAGTTTTCTTAAAAATCAAGTCTGAAAACCTTGCATTCCCTAGGCTATGAATATCATCTCATAATTATTCAAAGCGGAAAACGTCTCCCGATTTCGTTTGAAGGGTAGACAGCACTTGTCAATTTCCTATGATGATGCAAAGAAAAATACTGCAATATTTAAAGGCTGGTCGAAGGTAAATAACATTCGGGAAACCTCGGCTGATTCCGTCACCTTCATCCAGATGCGGTACGAATCGGCCGAGGTGTGCCGAGTGAGGTAAATAAATGAATTTAAAATCAGAAGGTCTACGTTACAAACCTATCCACTGATTGATGTATTTATTTATCAAATGGTGTAACTATGCAGTAATTTACTTACATAGATACAAGACTTTTTTTTAACGTCAGGATGTAGGTTAGGATGGTCACAGACGAGTGTAACTTCGACCACCTGGTTAATTTCGACTGTTCATAAATACCTTAAAATAATTTATTTATAACCCATTATAGTGTACACA